ATTCGACAACGCTGGTATGTGGAACATCAGATCAGAGAACTGGGAGAAAAAATACTTGGGACAGCAGATGTACGTTAGTGTGCTCTCACCAGAGAAATCGCTAAGAGACGAATACAACATCCCACTCAACACCCTCCTCTGCGGTATCGTCAAGGGCTTGCCATTACCTACACCCTACACTATTTAAGCTTATCACTTACCACAAAGTTTTTTGTTTTTGTATTTCTAAATTGATATGTAAAATTGTACTTTCCACAAGTGAGTGTATTACGTGACTACAATAACCCTTTCCTAATTTCATTTAACATTAATTACTACTATATATACAGATCCAATTGTTACTGATTTCACTAATAGTAGACAATATTAGCTCAGGTAATATAATCCCATTCTAACACAAGAGACTGTTGATCAGTTGCATAGTCTCAAGAGTTTTAATTTAAGCAGTAAGATAATATCCTCGTGAATTTTCTGTAGTATTCGAGTCTCATCCATCAAATAGATGAGTAAATTCTGAAATAAATTTATGTTCCTGTGTAGAAATTTGGAATCAGGTCCAACATATTTTACAGCTTGATTTGGTTGGAAAGCAGATGAATCGAAGTTTGTATATTTTTACTTAAACCTATGACCGGATAACTCAGAGAGGCAAAGAAAGAAACAAACCTTAGATGAGTATAAAACCCTCGATGACCTGAAAGGGTTATTTTTTATCGCAAGCAAGCTTGACACAGTAACTCTCATTGTCATTGGAGATCAAAACCAGTGCGTCAACGTCAAAACAAAATGGACTAAACCTGAGTTTTTCGAAGTTTTTTTTTGATAAAAAAAATTATAACTACATTTTAATATAACTTATAAAAAAATTTAAATAGTTAATTTAAAACCAAAAAATTTGCAAAAGCATTTTTTATCCCTAATTTCTCATTATTTTTTCGATAAATATTTTAATATAAATATAGGTATTCAGAGTTTGAGATACATTTTCAATAATTTTCCAAATGAAACTACTAAAGTAATGTTTCAAGGTTCAAGATATCCAGACATTTTTGTACAAGTATTTTGGTTTAAATATTTGGTTCTGAGAAACTAGATATCAGTAATGAAAGTTCTCTAAGATATATATATATATATATATATATATATATATATATATATATACACACTTCTTTTATTATTTAAAATATATATGGTTTTTGTAAAGAAAACACACGAACATCAGTTTTTTACATATCTACAACTTCATCTATAAATATGCTCCTGACCAAGAAAACGTTCATATATAGCAGTGGATTTTATCAGATTCTAAAAAGAAGCTAATATATGTAATAAAACATTTTCTTGTCAATCTAATACGTTTACTAAATAGATTTTAGCGATATAATTATAATGCTTGGTTGATTAAACTTGTTAATTCCTACATAGGACACAAATTTTACTTAAATATAGTTTCAAAAGAAATTTGAACACAATTATACAGAACTATGTTATGCATATTTGTCTTAGCATAATGGCCTGAGACACACGTGTCGAACAGATAAATACGCAGGCATATCTTGTAAAGTGTAAAATCATCCTTTAACCATCCTTCATCTATTTCACAAGATGCAAAAATGTGGTCGAAGAAATAAATAGAATTGAGCTTTCGGTTAGAAATATTTGGTTCTTCCACGTATAACAGAGATCACTTTAGACTTCGCCATATTGGGGATCTGTCCCGGTATATACAATAAAAGAAAAAAAAAGAAACAGAAATATATATTTGTATGCGTGTTAATTAAGTTTTACAGCCTTTTCCTACTATGTTTAAAATTTGTAATAATTTACAACCACACATATATATTTTCAAGGAGAAAAAAGCTGTGAACCGTACTTACATCGTTATACTGCTTGATATGTTCCTCAGCTAGCTTGCGTTCTTGTGATCTTACCATACTCATCTATGCGCGACACAAAGAAACGTATAGCCAAGGACAACTTGCCGATTCATGATTTTTTTCTCTAAAATACGAAATAAAATACTTATCAGATATTATTTTAAATCGGCAAGTCATCCTTGGCTGCACACTACTTTGGTCACATACGCCTTCCTCTATACACATGTATATATGAAAACCAAAACCAAAAAAATGTATATGTGTATCTTTCTCGTCAATGTAACAGCAGAGATGGAAGAGGTTGTACATAATATGTGTGTGTATTGTTTGTGTAGATTATGAATATTAGAAGACTCACTCGCTCTTGATTTATATAGAAGATGGTCAAGAGATATGAGAGGGAATAAAATAACTAAGAGAAGATTTTAGATATATAAATTGTTTTCATTTATGCCCCCAAGAAGGTAGATATGCAAAACCCTAAAATTAAAACGAAATAAATAAAATAGAACGAAGAAATATACAGAGATTCGATAAAAACAATAGTTATGGAGATAAGGTTCCTCCATGCTGCTCCATCCTCATAATATTAATTTTCTTAAGCTGCAAAAGCTTTACAGCTTTTACAGATTCCGTTAAGAGATATGGGTCCACATACACCTCTACACACATTCACATATATATACATACATAAATTTTACCAAACATACATAATACACATTCACATATAGACACAGGCATATATGGACACACACATTAATATTGCCAGTGTAATAGAAATCTTTTGTTCTCCTGAAGTGTTTAATTTCCCTCAAGGGCGGCCCCTTTCCATTTTGTAATTATAAAAGTCTTTATATTTTGTAATATTTTGATGCTTTCTATATTATACTGTATACCATCATAGGATCTTTAATATATGTCTGTGTCCCTATATTAGATTAAAAGGTTGTGGTTAGTCTAGGTAAATAGATTCTTGTTGAAGAATTATATGTATACGTGGTTTGAGGAAGAAAGACCCACTTGCACACAACCTGGTTTTGGTAAGTTGATGGGAGCCATAAGTTTCTAATTTTAGTACTTACTAAGAAAATAACTCACCAGATAAAATGTAAATATAAAAACATAGAGAAAGGGAGAAGGAAGACAAATTCTCGTAAACAATTCTTAAAAGAAGCAAGGAATCTTAACATTTACGTGAACCCCTAGTTATCCCGACAAGTACTCGAAAGGGCACGAATAAATAAGCATGTCAATATGTATGTGCATTTACATAGACACACAAATCAGAACGTGGAATCTCAAAGTTCTCGAAAAGATCAAAAAGACCAGCTCGAGAGTAGATCATCTGCGTGGCCGTACAGTTTTTTACATTTTAATTTTTAAAAGTATTATTTAATTATTATGATTTCAACATGTCTTATGTTAACGCCAACATATAGCTGAATAGAAAAAGAAGAATGTAAATGGAAAACTTAAAATCTCTATATGAATTACACATGAAAAAGATAGAATAAATAAGAGATGAACCAGATTTGATATTTCACATTTTTCAACTTCTATCATTTTATTGTAATTGCAGATAATAAATGCTTTTTGGGTGCATATACAAGAATATGGATTCGGAAAAAAAAAAGAAAAAAAAAGAAGAAAATGGGTGATAATGTGATGTCAGTTGGTGGAGTGGCAGAGCAGTGGGATTTTCACTGCTCGTTAGGCTCAAACCCCTATGAATCATGTGCTTCCCTCTATATTATTGTCATGCTATAAACTAGTTTTAATCGAAAATATTTATTAGAAAACTAAAAGAATTTCTTTTTATTCTTATACAACCAAAAGAGTTTTTCTTCCATGCATTTTTGGAACGTTTATTTAGCTTTCAAACTTGAAACTTATGTGGTGGTAAAAGAAAGAAGTCGTCAAAGATGGGTATTGATATAGATGCAGGATGCTAATAGAACATTTTCATAGTTACATAATCGGCTGTCTTTGTTATACGAATATCAAAATGTCCAACAATACATTGATGTGATGTCAATGAAATAATGTCAAAAAGATTAATGGAGTCCTCATTTTCATTTTTATTCCCTATTAATGCTCTTCTTTATGGAGAGATTGTGTCAACCAGAGAATCTTAAAGATCGATCTATGACTTTCTGAAATCAGTACCGGCCCTGAGGGGAAACATTACAAGCAACCGCTTCCGGCTCTCAAAAGATATTTGAAAAATTCAACCTTTTTTATAAGAAAATTATTATTATAGTATATAAAACTTGTTATAAAAACGGCCAATTTTTAGAAAATTGCTTCTGGTATTTCCCATGTCAGGACCGGTACTGTCTGAAATAGATCCATGGGATGAAACTAAAATCCATGCAGGGACCATATGGACCCAAGGGTATTCAAAATACTAAATCACAGACCGTAAAAAAATATTCACGTGAAACAAGTCATGTTACAGAAAGAAACACAATAAAATAACGCAATTTAGATGTTTCATACCACTTTAATAAATCTATTTAAGTCTTTAAATTTTAGAAAACCTTTGGTAAAAAATATTTCTTTACATTTATTAGTAATTCATAAAACATAACAAATGAAAATTATTTTATTAGATATTCATACAATCTATGCAAAATTTACAAATGCTATTAAACATGTCCTGTCACTCTGACTCTACGGACACCAGTGTCTTACTCCTTGAGTTACTCCACGAAATGTATGTTCAAATCCCAAAAATGATATTCACTCTATTTTATTTTAGTTATCATTTTATGTTTTTATACACATATTAAAAAATATTTAATTTAATATATTTTTAAAATAAAAACACAATTAACTATATACATAACTATATATCAACCAATAGAAAAGATATAATGTTAATAAAATTTACATCGAAATTATAAAATGACACTTATTTTTAAACGAAATTTTTTATCTACAACATGTAAACTGAAACCGATGGAATATAAACTGAAACGGATGGAATATATGAGTACGATACAACCGAAAGAACTCCCAAAAATCATTTAGTAATATAAATTAAAGACAAAAAAGAAATATAACAAACTTTATAAAAGAATTTGTTCTTCCAGTGTCTCTCGAGTCCTTTTACTCGTTCTTCATTATTAATTTATAACGTTTACAAAAGACTCACAAACAAGATGAATAAATGTTACAAGGGGATTGTAATCGCATATCCATTTATGTTTTTTTAGATGTAACAATCAACACTGAGATACCTCTTTCACCATACGCACTATGCAGAAAGCAAAAAAAAAAAAAGCAAAGCAAAAGGTGGGGATGATTCTTTAAGAAGTCAGCTGCTTAAGAATCTTGAGGAGTCTCAAATCTAGTTGGTGTATCGATACCCGCCATACAACAAAGTCCACTGATGAGGATGAGAAGGAAAACGATTCCCTGCAAAATGAAAAAACAACAACGAAAAAGATACATAATCAGAGGGGTTTTTAATAACAAAAGCATATGGAATCATATTATTAGCTTTGTCCTAATCAAAGTATGTCAGATGAATGAGTTGCAGCCAGTTTTGTGATCTTTCCAAATGAAAACGGAAGTATAACAAAGAGTGATTACTCACCACTAGTATGCCCTCCAAAAGTGATGACTTAAATTTGCAGAGTTCATCACAGGTTGTGGAAACACCAACACTGCTGTTTCCTGTACCACTTTCAGCTAGAAACCTTTGGAGAGTTTTGTAAGATGTGTACCAATAAGGATCAGAAACATAAAGGGCTGTGTATTTACTTCCAGCCTGTTCTAATGAACTAACAAGTTCCGAGATGCTTTCACCTGCAGCATAGGTCAAAGAATTGCTTAACTTATTTGCTCTCAAATTCTAACATGCTTTCGAAATAATGATCTTTCCACTTACGCTCTGAGTGTGACTGGGCAGATTCAGAACCCTCAGAACAGAGGACAACCAAGTCAGTTTCTCCTTCTTTCCTTGTTTCTCTTCTAGCAAGTAAATGATCCTATCAATTAAAATATAAGGAGTGAATAACAAGGCTAGTGTAGGCATGTAATAAGTGAAAACAAAAGTGTAAAGAGCAATTCACATTACTTTGAAAGACTGCAAGTCTGATAGTTTCTGAATTGTTCCATCTTCAACAAAGCAAGAATCAGAGAAGACAATATTCCTGACTCCTACATTGTGTGGGCAAGCTTCTTTAAGCCCTGAGAGTAACAAAGTCTCCATCCTTTCTTCCTCTGGCGCAGCAATATAAGGGAATGCCAATGAGAAGTTGGAAGCTGTAAATAGAGTCTGTTGAAACAAAGATGAACACGTTAAAGTATTATGTAGGTTAAAAGCAAAAACAACTTTACCAGAGATCTGCGCTGTGAAGGCAATATGTTCCGAAGAAAGTAAAAAAACTTGCACTCACATTCAATGTGTTAACAAGGGCAGGGTTTGAATTCTTTTTCGAAGAAACATCAGAAGACAGCAACTGCAAGAGGAAGAGAACGTGAATATTAGTATTCTCGCAATAGCAAGAGACGCTTCATAAATTGCAATACTTAAGATATTAGTTTGCTTCACAACATCACCAATTCACCACAAGAAACCAAATATTCAATTGGCCCGTTGATTAAAATGTTAAAACAAGGCTCCAACATCTCTGAAATCACACAACTTGACAGGATATCTCTTACATTTATAGATAAGAAAAAGTATTCAGTTACCTCTCTGCCGATGAACACAAGTGCAACATCAACAGCTTGCTCAACTTTCTTCTCCGAGCACTAGAAGAAGAACCAAGTAACAACCAGTTATAACGAGAGCTGAAATAAAATGAACATAAGAGGAAGAAGAAGAACATACCAGAAGGTTTGACCATCCTCCTTGAGTGAAAACAGAGCCTACAAGATCCTTGGCAGACATGACCTGATAATTCACACCCTCATCCACTTCACCATTAGCACTCCTGATTTTTGAGAATCAAAATCAACCAATCAAACCAGTTCCACCACAATACCAGATAAAAAACAAGTTCACAAGTCTCAAGCTTTATCAAATTAAAATCGAAATATCTCCAAACACATCCGAAAGCATAGATTTTCGTAAAATGTCAACGCCATCGTTTACGTAATGATATGAGAGAAGTATGTATATAGATAGAGGGTCTAACTGGAGATGTGGAGACCAGAGGAAAGCAGGGACGGTGTTAGCAGAAGTCAATCCAAATTCAATCGCAGAGATAGCCACCAAAAACGCCAGCACACCAATTTGAATCTTCATCATCATCTTCTTCGTCGAACAATCTCACCGGAGATAGAAATCGAGATCACGCTCCAGGAAATCGATGGATCAATTAGATTTCAAATGGACAGACTCAATCATCATCATAATCTCAGATCCTCACATCTGGGCGACTAAGGAGAGGTCCACATGTTGAGATCTAACGAGGTCGTTTTACCAAAAAAAAAAATCAAACAACCGGTTTTGGTTTAGTAAAAAGATAACCGGTGAGTAGGCATAGGCATTTGGGCTACCAATCGGGTTTCGATTTTGTCCAACCGGGTCCCGATTTTCAAGTTTATCAAAATCAGCCCCATTCGGATTATTTGAAAATTTGATTTGAGATCGGTTCGGGTTCTATCGGGTTCGGGTCGGGTTAGTAAATTTTTAAAGAACCGGTACAACCCGTTATACTTTTGGATTGGGATCCCAATCGGTTCTTTGGTTTAAAAATACTTGATTTATACATACTTTGTAACCAAAACGTAAGCAAAATTGGTTCTTCGGAGTTAAAGTATCTGATGTGTAACTATTTTGTAACTAAAATATAAGTAAAATTGATTCAAAAATAAGAAAAAAACATCAAACGTGATCATTCAAAATTAAATGAAAGGCAAATATAGTTATTAATAAAAATAAAAGCAAATAAATAAAAGCATAAAAATGAAAACCAAGTTCTTAAAAAAATGAGAAACATTATTCAATAAAAACAAAACTTTAATCTAAAATTTTCAAGTTTCAACCGCTACTTTCAACCATCAACCTTTATGTAACAGATGATTGTTTTAGATGTTTAGTAATATTTTAAAATATTTTGGATATAAATTAGGAATTATGATCATATTCGGTATACGCTCTTATTAAAATTTTAAATGTTTCGGTTATATAAGATATCCATTTAATTTTGAATTCGGTTCAGATAATACCCATAATCCGGAATCCGTTCGATATTTAAGTCAGATTTTTATCGGATCGGATTCGGTTCGATTTATTTGCCAGCTTTACCGGTGAGGACAGACTCATCAAATCCCCGATCCTCAAATCTGGGAGACCAAGGAGAGTCAGGTCGACATGTAGAGATCCAACGACGTCATCAATAACCGTTTTTTTTTAATTTAGTTTAGATAACCAGGTCAGATATATTGGGCCATATTGAACATATTTAATTTATTTTTTTCTTGGCGGCCCAATCTTAAAAACACGGCTTCTCCCACTCATTGTAGCTGTCACTGAAACAAGAAACAGAAAAATTCGTTAAAAAAAAACTCACAACCAGCGAAGAATATAATTCCTTTCCTCTTCTCCAACGCGATCCCGCCCAAAGAATCATTCTCAACCGTCATTGCTCCGTCGCCTTCTCTCCCCCCCCCCTCTCTCGATTCATCTCTTTCGTTCGTCTGAGTATTTGAATTCAACGTCAGAATTGTCGTATTTTTCTATTCTCGATGAAGAGACGACATCGGAGTGACAACAAGTAACGAGGAGGAGATTTTCAAGATGCTTTGTGGTTCGTTTCGAAATCGAGTAAACAATTGGCTTCGAGACTATGTTAGGCTCCAATCTGTCGTCGTGATCCTTATTTACGCTCAGGTAATCGTTTCGTTCCTTTTTGATTCTCTCGCTTTTCCTTGTGGATGTTTGAGTTTGGGCCTAGGGTTATAATGTTGTGGTGATTAATAAATGCAAGAAACTCAGATATATCAAATTTGTTACAGATAGGATGCGCGATGATTGGTTCACTAGGGGCATTGTACAATGGAGTGTTGCTGATCAATTTGGCGATTGCGTTGTTTGCGCTTGTGGCAATCGAGAGCAATAGCCAGAGTCTTGGCCGCACCTACGCCGTTCTTCTTTTCTGCGCCATTCTTCTTGATATCTCTTGGCTCATTCTCTTCTCCAATGAGATTTGGTATGTTGCTTGTCATCATTAACACACTATCTGGTTTATTAAGAGCTTTCTTGGCTTGTTAATTTGCAACACATATAGTACATATCAAGATTGATCATTATGGTGTCCTGTTCAAATTCTGTAGAGCCACTGCTCATCTGCTGACTTATATAGTTATATTAACAGAAGATTTGATTGTCTATGCAGGAATATTTCATCTGAGATGTATAAAGCGCTTTACATCTTCTCTGTGAAACTCACTATGGTTATGGAAATCGCTGGGTTCGTTGTGAGGCTATCTTCCTCGCTGTTATGGTTTCAGATTTATAGGCTGGGAGCTTCCATTGTTGACACTTCTCTTCCTCGTCGATCAGATTCGGATTCACAGAATAGCTTCATAGATCCTCCTACTTTAGGTAGCCAACGTGAACGTGATCCTGATCTACGAACTAGCTTATTAGAGCCTCCTGCTATAGCTGAGCATCGTTCACGTTCTGATCAAATCTTGGATGACTCTATCGACCGAGTAGCCTACCAGTTTCCTCCATTTAATGATGGACCAGCCTACCAGTTTCCTCCATGTGATGGTGGCCAAAACAATCTCTCTTCACCCAAGGTAACACATGTATGCTCTTGCTCTTCTTCTTCTCAGAACTTAATTATACACTCTTTATAGTTTAACTTCCCACCTGTTATGAGTTATATAGTCAGGCTTCCCTGATGCTCCTCTACACTGTGAACATCTTTCATGGATCTGGATTACTTTTGTAAAGAGATTTCTGACCCTTTTAACAAACTTGAAACTGTAGTAAATGTATCTAGGGATGAACTAACTAGAGAGCGCCTTTATATTTTAGCTATTTGGCACTCTTAGTTAAATGCAATATTATGCTGTTTCTCTTGTCATAACACTCCAAATATACGTGTCATTAGCAAGGTTTTGATCCTACATTATCCTTTTGTAGGTGATTAAACATCATTCAGCTGAAAACATTTACGGAGGATCCCAATTATCTGCTGCAGAAGTATCTCGACTTAAGTCTCCACTATCTAGATCCTTGGAGTCCCTTGATTCTAGTCTCCATCGATTCAACATTTAATGATCGTGACTGGTATATAGTACTATCCCTTGTTTCTGATAGATTTTCTTTCCGGACACCACATTTGTATACGGATGGACATAGAAAGAAGTTTGGTTTCTTCACTAGTGAATTCGTTGCATGTGTTGGTCCTACTTACAAGCATTGCTCTTAGCTTCTCTCATATACCTGGCGAGTTTCCAACTCCTTGTGTCACTTTTGCAGGCTTGGACCAGTATAACAACTTTTGAGTTTTGACTAAGGCAGGCGCATTATAGTTGGCTTCAGTTTGAAGAATACGGAGAGGAGAGTTACATATTGGGTGACAAAGTAAGAGCCGTCTTTTACTTGTCTTCTTTTCATAATTCATTTTTTACTGTATAGAAATTGGGGACGACATAGTTGGACTCGGAATGTACATGAGCATTCTTTTGTGTACATATGGGGAGGAATACATTCTTTTGATTAGTATAAAGATCTCTCTTTTTCATCTATGCATTTGGTATTCGTTGTAGCAAAATGTTAAAAACCTAAAACCATATGTCTATGAGAATCGAAATATTGAAGTGAGAGCATGAACATAACAGTTACTATTGTAATCCGTACGAGAAAACAAAGAAGAAGCTACATTGTTTATTCCCCATGGAAGTGCAGCAAACCGAACCAAAACCAAACTAAATCAAAATAACTTCGATTTGCATCAGCCCATTTATAAGATAGCTGGGTCTAGTAAATAAGATAAATGGGCCTAGTAAATGAGATGAGATGATATCGTGGCGCACATTAATTGTCTTTGACCTAAAATCTAAAACTTATCCACGTCTGACTAATAATAATATCCGATTATTTTAGATTTTAATTTATGAAAAGGGGTTAATAGTCTGCGTGGATCTTCAGCCGTTTCAGACACATACCCAGAAAATTTCGAGCTGCAAAATTGTTTGTTCTTAGGTTCTCTTCAGTTTATCCTCTACTCTTTGTCCCTTTGAATATTCATACGAACGACGCGTTATTCTCCTTTTCAATAGGTAAGTTAAATAAACCCTATTCCGATCCTCTTATTAAGATTATTTTAAACTATTGTGTGTCTGTTCAAATATGTCGTTTGAATCTATACCTTTCCTCGGAAATTTAGTGTAAATGAAACGATCCTCGAGATTATTTTCCTGTTTCTTCGTCCAGTGAATTGATTCGATTGACTTTCTGCTGATTATTACAAAAAAAAAAAATCTAGCTGGTTTGGTCAAGTCGCTGATTCTAGGGTTCAATCGTTTCTGCATGTTATGTGATTCTCCTTTGATTAAATCTGAGCGTCTTTTATTTGACTATGAATTATAGAACCAAGGATTGGCTATGGAGGATGCAACAACAGCGATTAGGTATTGGTGTCACATGTGCTCTCGATCCGTGAATCCAATCATCGAAGGCGAGATAATCAACTGCAACTTCTGTCAAAGCGGATTCGTCGAAGAAATGGACGAAACTCCGGATCAGATCACCAATGATCATCCTCCTCAGACTCATCAGCAGGCTGCTGAGTCTCTCTGGGCTCCCATCTTACTCGGGATGATGAACGATCAGAGATCCTCAGAATCTAATCTCGAAAACGAAGATAATAATGATAATGATGATGATAATGATAATGATGATGGTGATGATGATGGTGATGGTGATGAAGGTCAGATTAATGATGGAGAGTTTGATTTGGAACGGCACTTAGAAGAGATCATGCGGAGAAGGAGAAGACACTCAGCTGCGATACTCGATCTCCTCCAAGGGATCCGAGCCGGGTTATCGGTAGAATCCGAAAACAACGAGGACAGCGAGCTTGTTGTCTTGATCAACTCCTTTAACCAGAGGGTCAGGATTCAAGACTCTTTAGACGCGAGTTCTGTCCCCTCTGGCTCTTTGGGCGATTATTTCATCGGACCGGGGTTCGAGATGTTGCTGCAACGGTTAGCGGAGAACGATCCGAACAACAGGTACGGGACGCCGCCCGCGACGAAAGAGGCGGTTGAGTCGTTGGAGACGGTTAGAGTGGAGGAGAGTTTGGTGCAGTGTAGTGTGTGTTTGGATGATTTCGAGGTTGGTGTGGAGGCGAAAGAGATGCCGTGTAAGCATATGTTTCATGGGGAGTGTTTGTTGCCTTGGCTTGAGCTTCATAGCTCTTGTCCTGTGTGTAGGTATTTGCTTCCGACAGGGGATGATGATGGTGAAGGGAAGACTGATGCGGAGACTTCGAGTAATGTTTCTATGGAGAATAATGGGACATCGGTAGACTCGAGTTCGAACAATCCGTCGGTTAATGATTAAGGACTGTCACCCCAGTGTGAGACAAGTTTACTGAACACAGAGGGGTCAGTCTGGTGAAGCGTTTGTGATTAGTTTGGTTATGGATACTACTTGGTAATGTTGAATGTTACTTGGTTGGTTGCAGTACATAGTTTTCACAGGTTTTGTTGAAACTTGAAAGTGGATTCTTTTGGAATTTCAAGTCTTTTTTTTGTTTGACTTTTTTTTTTTTTTTCGGTCTGATTGTTTCAAGTTTTGATCCGATCAGTTCATTACTATAATAATCAGCATTAAAAAAGTAATATAAGAAAAGATAACTTAGGCATTTAGTTGGTTTATTTGAGCAGAAGACTTTGATCTTGTCTTCTATGTAATGATTGTTTGAAAGCTCTTCACGCGGTACTTTTGGATATATTAAAATTCTTTTGAACTGCTGAGTAAATTATATGAGAAATGGTATATGAAGTGAAAGAGTGTATTAGAGCATCACCAACTGCTGTTCCAAAAAAAAAAGCATCACCAACTTTATAAATCATATCAAACTAGGTGACTCACCCGCGCGGACGCGCGGGATTAACATATATTAACATATACTTCCGAGGATTTTTATGGTTAACAAATTTTGTTCATGCATAGTTTAACAATTTTTAGTTAAAGTTTAAAGTCTTGATAATAGCACATAAAATTTCTTTAAATTCTTGATAATAGTACATAAAATTTCTTTGCATGTAATGAATGTAAGGTAGAGAATAGGCAGAAAAGGTCGCTTTTCCAGTGTTGTGTCAAGCAATCGAAGTTTGATATGTTGTCTTTACCTAGGGAGATGGTAGTAATGTTAGTTTTTGATCAGTGTTATCAGCTTTTGACATCAACTTTTTCTCTATCTTCAAAGAACCATTATTCTTGAAAGGAAAATTATGTGACAATACATTGAACAACAGTGTTATCTTGTGTACTTCCCAAATATTCTTCAATTCGTAAATAGCCTTTTATATTTTCTTTGAAAGATTACGTAGAGTTATAGAGGCAAACATGTTTCGTTATTTGTCTTCTTCTCTCTTCAGTCTTCCTCTATTTTTTGCTTTTTCAAGTAAGTGGGTTAGACCATCATAGATTAGATGCAATTTCCAATAAAGAGATGAAATTGCTTTGTGTCAATCCTTTTATGTTTTCACATACTCTTCTACACTTTCTTATTTAAGCAATCATCTATGTTCTTCACACCACTAATCAGTAGAGTGAGAGTATCGAAAAAAAAGAGATCAAAATGGGTTCCGAAAGCTCTGTGAGAATTACTGCAGCGATGACAGTGATGCCCACTACACCAACGATACGAATGCGGTCTCTGAGTACGACGTGGAGAGTGGAGACTCGAACGTAGATCGCAGACATTATTTCGGAAACATGGATCTCGGATATTTTGTTGTAGAGATTCTTATTGTTACTTGTAGCAACTACTAATATTATCTCTTTCACAGAGTTGGAAACAAACCATTCTTGACGATCTTAGACTGCTACAAACTCGTTTTAGCACAAGTTTAGCAAAATCTCTTCCTCTTTGGAAATGGGATACGATGTTTCTATATGGAAATTGCTGTACCACGAAGCAAAGCTTTTTTTTTGCTTACAAAATACAGTCCCCTAGTGCTTTCTTTTTAGCTCTGAGTACATTCAAAATGTGGGAAAGATTCCTTCTGCAAATTGTCTGATTTAGCCTAAGTTTACCCATGAAGAATAGTTACCATTGAGAAGAACGAATGTTTTTTTTTTGCGATAGAGTCGACATTACAATAAGGTTTCGAAAACTTGAGTAACTTTTTATTTGTAGTCAATATTAGAAAACTGTGGATCATATATATATATAACAAAATAGGTCAAAACGAATAAGAAGCATAATCTTGCTTCCTTTTGTGTTTATCTAGTAAATTAACGTTATTTGTATAAAATATTTAGTATATTAACAAAATCTTCATTCATATCCAATGCATCATATCTATATGAAAATAATATGTAAAATTTACGTTATCAAAATTTATGAAATTTCTATACTGATATTTTCCTTTTGTGTATATCTATTAATATTTTTAAAGAATATTCAATATATTTAACAAAAACTTGATGCATATCCAATGAATCATATCTTTATAAAATAATATGTAAAATTTATGTTATAACAAAATGTCAAATTTTCGTGAGAATCAAATCTTTTGGAAAGTTGTTTTTTTTCCTATTGTGTATATCTATTAATGAGATATATACATATTGTATATTCCTGTTTTTATTTTGATTCATATCCAATGATTTATGCGAAATTTACATTTAACAAAATATGTTAAATTTACGTGTGTATCATATTTTAATTAGTACTAGATTTTGACCCGCGCAACCGCGCGGGTATTTGTTTTCGTGTATAAGTAGTTATATAAACATTTTGTTTTCACTTGTAAATTGGTATATATCATAGTAATCACATATTTACGATATGTATAGTAAATGTTTTTCAAACATAATAATATTATATAATACAATGTTTTAATCAAATAGATTATTTCAAATTTTCTATATTATACATGTTTTTCAAACATGTGTTTGTTTCTTCTTCTATATTTTATTGTTTGTTAGATTAATATTTCATTTTTAGATAAATTAATATAAATAGAACTTGCTTAAATATTAGTATACTTTAATTTTCAAAGATAATATAAACTTTGAAGAAATTTTTGCTAAAAACTAAACTTATAGCTTCATAAATTAATATTATAAAGAATTTTATTAAAAATAATTTTTTAAACAATTTCTTTTTTTAAAACAATATAATTTTAAAATTTTACATCGAAATAAATTTATCTAGTATATATAGCGTGTAAACTTTGTTAGGGTATATAAATATTCTATATTACGAATATGTGATTTTTGTTAATATATTGTGGATTCATTTAACTATTATTGACATATTTCCTTATAAATAATAGAAGATTCCTAAACTTATATCTTTTGACATATTTTGCGTGACTAATTTGGAAGGTGTGGGATAATTTACCAAAACAGAATTGTTAAGCGTATATTTGTTACTATAGATATGATTTTTCATAAGATATAATAATGATAAGATTATTAGAGAGTTAATGTAACGTGACTTTCTAGTAATAGTCCATTTTTAAAAAAAATCACACATGAAGTCAAGTCATGACTTCTGTTTTAATATATAAGATTGTAAACTTTTTCAATCCATATCGAATGCATTCAACTCGAAATCACCATTAACATGATCTTTAGTAAACATCTTAATAAAACAGAAATCACCATTAACATGATCTTTAGTAAACATCTTAATAAAACAGAAATCACCATTAAAATGATCTTTAGTAAACAACAAAATTAAAGAGAATTATATGTTATGTATGAAGGAGCTTCCATTAATACGCATCATTGATTCAATCTCCATCTGAGCTAAACTCTTGGTTTGATCTTCTGAGTAAGTAAAACCTGAGAGAAAAGAAACAATGAAATATGATAAGCATTGAGAATTGAATTTTCCAATTATTTTGTTTCGGATACAAACAATCTTACATGGATCTTCTGAGGTATTATTTATATCTTTTGATAGAATTTTCCAAGTAGCATTCCATATATTTTCTGGAGTTATATTGCTATTTGAAAGTAATATCGTACAAAATAGTTTTCGAAGACACTTTGCTGAAGACTAAATACTTGCTTCTTTAATAGCTTCTATATATTCTTCATCATCGTTCATGTGAACCTGTAAGAATTTGTGATCTTAAAAAGAAGATGATCGAAGTACAACGCTAATGAACATACACAAAAGAAAGATCATTACGTACTTGTTTTTGTTTTTCAACTAACTTCGACGTCTGCATGTTTTGTAGAAGACGATGTCGTATGTTTTGTATTAGGTTTATAGACTTTTTAATATTAAGGTTCATAGGCATTCATAGATAAACATATATATATAACTTTCTAATATTAAAATGTTAATTAACCATGTCATCTTTTTTCATGAGCCATGTCATATTTCCAAGGAGGCCATGTCATCATTATTTTGTGAGAAGCATTGTAGAGATGACACCTAAGCGAATTTTTAAAAATCACTTGGCAAATAATATATAGGGGATGACTTTGGTCAACTGTTTGATATGATGCAATCACACACATGTAAAACTTTATCCAAGTTCGTTCGTTTATAGGCCTTTAGGCCCATTATTATTGTTGTTTATCGATGATCAATTTACCAATTGTAAGCATATGCGGCCCGTTATTCAATAAATTGGGATTGAAATGATTAATTTATGTTATTTTGCGGCTAAAGTGTAATTATCGAGACTTAAAGACATGTTTTCAACAATATTTTTCTCCTGTCACACTTGCCGCCGCCGTCGCCTCCTTGTTCGTGGAGATCTAGCGTCTCAGATTTGTCTCTCTACTGCTCTTGTCAAGTTGATTAACTGTTTCAAGAAACCTTCGATTCTCCAATCCTTCAGGTTAGTCTTTTAATGATTTTGTCCGAGAGAGCTTTTTCTTAATCTCACATTGTATTACATGTTTTCTAATGATTTATCTGAAAAAAACTTCTTTAAATCTTGTTTCTCTTGTGACACATTTAAACACACATTCTTAAACCTTTCTAACTACTTTCTTGTATAGGCTGCCATGTCCGAGACACCACCAGAAATAGCTGACATCATGCGTGTAAGCTCACACCGTGAAGTCTACGAGCCCTGTGATGATTCATTCGCTCTAGTAGATGCCTTACTCACTGACCAAACCAACCTCATAAACCACAAACCTAACATTTGTATGGAAATCGGATGCGGAAGCGGATACGTCATCACATCACTTATCCTCCTCCTCAAATCAAAACTCTCCAACATCCATTACCTAGCCACAGACACAAACCCTCTCGCCGCAAAAGTAACAACCGAGACACTAGAAGCACATGGCCTCAAAGCTGACGTCATCTGCACGGACATAGCTTCTTGTCTAGAGACAAGACTCGCTGGCTTGGTCGATGTGATGGTTGTGAACCCTCCTTACGTTCCAACGCCTGAGTACGAAGTTGGTATGGAAGGTATTGCATCTTCTTGGGCTGGTGGGGAGAATGGGAGGAGTGTTATCGATAGAATGTTACCAGTGGTTGATCGTTTGCTTTCTGAGAAAGGTTGGTTTTATTTAGTGACGTTGAGTTGTAATTACCCTTCGGAGATTTGTTTGATGATGAGGAAGAGAGGCTTCGCGTGGAGGATCTTGGTTCAGAGGTCTACTGAAGAGGAGAATCTTATTATACTTAAGTTCTGGAGAGACGGAGAGGAGGTTGAGAGGTTGGAGGAGGAGACAATATCTGATGAGTTTTCGAGATCTTTATCATTGTTTATGAGGAAACAATGATCTTCGGGAGCATTCTTTGTTAACAAGAGCTTGTAATGGTGTTTTGCAGACACTCCTTTTAAGTGTTGGTCTAGTGTTCAAATTTTATGAAATCCCGGTTATGTGTTGGTCTATGGGGAAACAATGATCTCAGGAGCATTAGCGGAATATGCCGGGTTTAGTGGGTGGGCGAAGTTAGGTTTTGTAACAGTAAGATTTCCATAATTTTGCTCAAAGCAAGCTTGTAACCTCGTTGTTTTGCAGACACTCCTTTGAAGTGTTGGTGTATACAAATTTTATGAAATCCCGGTTGTGTGTTGGTCTATTGGAATTTATTTTCTAAAACCGAAAATCACCGTCTGTTAATGCGTATTTTCGAGTAATGACGTGGCTAAATGTTACTGGATGTTCACGTAATAAAACCGACAGAGTTGTCATTCTAATTCTCGCCTAATTTACTAAAGTACCCTTATTCTTACAAGACGACCAGGGGTAGATTAGGAAACTATATATACACTATAAATATCCACAAGCAAGCCAATTCTAAAACGCAACCAATAGCACCTCTCCTCACAGATCTAAAAAGACATCCTCGTTCATCATATAAGATAGAAACGAAAGAGAGCCAAATCACTCTCCCTTTATATATAAACTCCCATTTACAAAATCTTTTTTCCCTCGCCAATCCTTAGATCTCTGTATATATATACAGCCTCATCTTTTTTTCGTTTCCGCCAAATCTCAATCGCACGAAACCCTAGTTTTCGTGTCCGAATCTCTAACGAAAGGTCTGACCTATTCTCCTTCATTTCTCTGGGTTTAATTGGTCGGAAATGATTGTTTTGTAACCTCTATTACAACCTTTTTTTGCTATTTGGATTGTATTAGTTTCATAGAATAGAGAAATGAGCTCTTGCTTTTGAACGATAATGAATCTAAATCCGGTTTACACCGGTTCAAGAATAATACAATCTTAGATTATATGACTGGACCGTCTAAAGTGAGTATATTATCTTGTCTGAGTTTAGATTTAGTTTGATGTGTGGATTTGTGTGTTTTGTGTAATTATTGTTAGGCAAATGACAGAGCAAGGATTGGAAGGGAGTAACCCAGTGGACCTTGTCGAGCATCCTTCAGGGATTGTACCAACTCTTCAGTGAGTGTTTTTTTTTTTTTAGTGAGTCTCTTATGGTTTTTTTTTAATGTGTGGATAGGATTAATCTCATTGTGAGATGTTTTTTTTGTTTGCAGAAACATTGTCTCAACGGTGAACTTGGACTGCAAGCTAGATCTTAAAGCCATTGCTTTGCAAGCTCGTAATGCTGAATACAATCCTAAGGTTTGTTTTCCATTTTAGTGTCATTATGTTGTAATAATTGATAAAAAAAATTGGAATTGATTTGTTAGCTTGAATACTCTTAGTGTACTGGTTAATTAGATTTATAACTGAGATATTATATAGACTAGTATTTGCAAAACTAATTGGCTATTGGCATGTTGTGTTATATTATGTTTTCAGCGTTTTGCTGCTGTGATTATGCGGATAAGAGAACCAAAGACGACAGCATTAATTTTTGCCTCTGGTAAAATGGTTAGTCATGTCTTGATGGCTATTTCTTTCTTTAAGTCTTTTTTACATTCAAATTTTATTTAGAGTTGCTTTGAATTTCTCTTCTGATTTTGGCGTCTAATGTTTAATTTAGGTTTGTACTGGAGCCAAGAGTGAAAACTTTTCAAAGCTGGCTGCAAGAAAGGTAGTTCTCCTTCTTTAACGTAGTTTGTTAAATTGTTTATAGATACTCAAAGGAATCTGGAGTCTTCTTCTTCTTCTTCTTCTTTACTTTAGCCATTTTTGCTATATTCTATTTACATATTACATCATGGTATGCTAATAGGAGATGTTCTATTGTTTAGTATGCTCGGATTGTCCAAAAGCTTGGGTTTCCTGCAAAGTTCAAGGTACCTATTATCTCAATACGCCATGTTTTTTTTGCTTAGTACTAGATATATTGATGGTTACATTGTCCGGCAGGATTTCAAGATTCAGAATATAGTAGGTTCTTGTGATGTCAAGTTCCCTATCAGACTTGAAGGTCTTGCATACTCTCACGCCGCTTTCTCAAGTGTAAGTCATCTGAACACCTTTTGCAAACTTCATCCCCCTTGTTTTGAACTTTATAGTTAAGCTGATTGTGTGTGTGTGTGTTACCTCCTTCTCTCTCTTATTGATTTGCCAGTACGAGCCTGAGTTGTTTCCGGGGCTGATCTACAGGATGAAAGTGCCTAAGATTGTGCTACTAATTTTTGTGTCTGGCAAGATAGTCATCACTGGAGCCAAGGTATAAATCTCACTCTTTTTAGGTTTTTTGTGATTATCTCCTGCATGATACGTCTCTCGCTAGCTCTTCTGATAAAAATTCTGAGCTCCACTCACTATCAGATGAGAGAGGAGACTTACAAAGCCTTTGAGAATATATACCCGGTCCTCACAGAGTTCAGGAAGATCCAGCAGTAGTATGTAACAAACCTTTCTCTGTAATGGATGATGTTTCAGACATTTACTTGGATGGATCTAATTGTTATGTTTATCTTTAACAGAGTCGTGAGTTTCCGCTTTGCAAAACTAGTTGTGCGGTCTTTTGGCGTTGCTTAAATTGCTGAGAATTTTGTCATTGAGAAAAGGCTCTCCAAGTAGCCAGGCTCCTACTTTTGTATTACTGTTTAAGATTCTAATAGAACATTGTAAATACTCAAATGGAGACAATTTCCTGTTCCAAGATTGGTTTATTCCCACACGTTAAAAAGTGCAAACTTCCACACTTTTATATCATCCAAGATTGTAAACAAAGTTGGGACAAGTAATTTGGTCAGACAAGCTGAGGGGGAATACAGTTTGATAGATGATATATAGGTCTCGTCATGTTTGTCATCAGTGATGGACAATCTTTTTGATGATGATTGAATGAGATTATGAGATCAACAAAAAGGTCAACTTGTTTCTAACCTGAAATATCAACTTCAAGTCTTCTTGAAACTAGGAATTAACTTTGGACAGACTGAAGCAAGAAAGGCCAAAAGAGGACAAGGATACAAGACCATCGAAGAACCTTTGATGCTAAGAGAACTGAAACACGAACAGTCATGTCTGAACCCAAACAAGAAACATAAGAACAAAACGGGGAATTTTTTAAAAAAATCTGCCTATCAATCCAACAGAAATGAAAACAACTCCCACCCTGCTATTATCTCCTTTTCTCTTACTTTTTCCACGATTTAGTAGATTTTTACAGGGCAGGAGGATCAACAGAACATTAAAAAAGAAAAGAAAAACTGTAAAGACAGGGTAAAAAGAGAACACGAAAAGATTGAAAAAACAATAACACTGGGACTTTTAACTTCTAAAGGCACAGAAACAGCATCTCGGCGGTATCAGGTACTAAAGCTCTTCCTTCCATGCTTCAAAGCTCACGGCACTTCTCAAGAGAAACGGGAATGTTCAAATTTTCTTCTCTCTTGTGTTGCCTTTTATGCCCAAGCCGTGAGCTACATCGACTAATCTAGCAACCATTTGCCACCACACCGACTGGTTTTGCAACAGACCCATTCTCATCAGCCTTGACATCACTGGTAGTTTGAGCAGCTGGAGGAGATTCCTTTTTAGCTGAATCAGCAGTTGCGGTTTCCTTTTTCTCATCTGTTGCAATCTTCTCCTCACTTACCTGTTTAAATTAAAGATCATTTAAATGTTAGAGGAAACAATCGAGCTGCACACTATGACTAGAATATTTGACAAAATTGTATCATGATCTTGCCTGTATCTGGGTTTGTTGTTGCTTAGCCTTCTTCTCCAAGATAGTCTTTTGCCTAACCTCATAGAAGGAAAAGTCATCCAAAATGCAAGTCTTAGTGGTATGCTCCTTGAAAATTTTCAAGACCTTCAAACCTTGCTCCAACTTGACCTATAACATGATCACACAAAAGAAACTTCAACACACGAAACAAAATAAAGTACATAACTTAACGAAATGAAAAAGCTTCAACGGGTCTGTTACCTCTTGAGTGTCTCTACTGTTTGTGACAGGCTTGTTCTCATTGTTCTCAAGGGTGATGTGTTTCAGCAAGCTGTTTGGAACATCCTTCACAATATGCCACTTGAGAGGGAAAGAGCCAGTCCACTTGTCTTGCTGCCAGTACTCCACATTTGTGTTGAAATCAACTGGTCCTGTCATTTCAGCAAGCCCAACAAATTGTCCACTTGCATTGACCTGGAAAACAAAAAAACAAGAGATGAATATTGACTCCATATCATCAAACAAATTATAAAAAGCACAGCATGATTTGATTCCAGGATTATAAAAAACATACCGAGAAAAAGAGAAAGATAGGACAGCCGCCAGGTTTCTGCTGAGCTTCCTGGTATGCTGCAGCAAGTTTCTTGTTTCCATTTGGTGTACTAGCCCAGACATTATACTTGATGCTCTTGTGCACATCATCTTCACTGTAGGACTTGATGACAAAGAACATAGCATTCTCATAGTCAACTGGGAAATCTTCTTTGTTGTACAGTTCTCTGTCAGGAACAATGCATGTGTTCTCCGTCTCCACAGCCTCAGTTACATTTGATTCGCCAGTCTGCTCCTTAACCTCCAAGCTATCTTCTAAATTTGCCTTCTGGTTCTTTGTGCCCTTCGCTCTGGGTCCCCTGTTAAGTTCATTCAAACCATCTGCATTGTTCTCGTTTCCATAGAAACTGCTACCCCTTCCCCAGTTTCTGTATCTGTTGTCTGTTGTGCTCACCCATCCTCTTCCATTTGTTCTTGAATCATACCCAGACGAACCATATCTCCCTGAATTTCCATAGTTACCATATACCTTGTTTTGATACACACTGTTGTAGTATCCCTGAGCTGTACCGTAGCCTGTCACTGCAGGCTGGTGCAAAAAGAAAACATTAATTAAGGGTCAATTTTTATGCCGATAAAACAAATTATAGTGTTCATGAATACAAATGTATATAGAAAGATACCATACCGTGTAACGGGAATTTGAGCGGTAATTTTGATTCCTCGATACAGTGGTTGCCTTAGAATAGGACGATGCAACTCCACTGCCGGTTACAGACCTCTGCACATCTGAATACTTAGAGCCGTCGTAACATGGCACAGGAGCATAAAACCCATCATAACCATATCTAGGATCCTGATAACCATACAAATTGCTCGCTGTGTTATGTGTGGTCTGGTTATTTGGTTTCCCAGTTCCGTTGCTTCCTTTGGCGATCCCAGCAGCAGATGCAACATTCTTGTTTTCCGCAGGTACCGTCTTGACACCACCAGGTTTGTTTGCAGAGAGATCCCCCTGGGTAGGGGTAGCAAAAGGTCCACTGGGGAAGAAGGCGGCAGGATACTGATACTGCTGAGCACCATACAACTGCCCATCTCCGCCAACCTGTGGACCAGGGCTTGTTGCTGGCGAGTAAGGATAAGTTGCATAACCATAACTCTGAGGATACATAACAGAGCCATTCTCTCCATAAACTCCCTGGTAAAACCCATCCGAAGCTGTTAAGTAGAGCAGATACGAAGAAAATGGAAAGCACAATGGACTAACTAAGCACACACTTACAGAGCTCATGTCAACACCCTCAGGGTTCTGGTAACCAGTGTATTCACTCCAGTCGCCACTCCCATATCCTGAAAGTCAGTAAAACAATAAACTTGTTAAACATCGGTGACAAAATTGTGAAGTAATGTTACTAAATCGTTAAGCTACCTCCATAATAATAGTGCGGGTACGCATTGGGAACATAGCAAACAGAAGGGTCCACGGCGTCACTGGGAAGCAATGGCGTCAAAGAACGGTCATAGGTAGGAACTTGACCATGCAAATCCACACCTCCATACTGGTACACAGCAGTCTGCATAATCAAATCACAATAAAAAAAAAAAAGAACACTGCTTTGTTAGATAAAACTGAATGCGTAACCAAAACACATAGCAAAGGATAAGACTGCTACAAAACCTTCTTGTTAGGCTCAGTAATCTCGGAAGCTTTGGCTTGTGAGTCCAAAGAAAGCTTCTGCAACATATCAGCAGATTCTAAAAAACAAAAGTGAGTCAAGGAATCATAAAATCATTAGAATAGTGATAAAGGAAGCATCTTTAACCCTAACAAAAACTTTTCAAAATCAATCAATCGTTTTACTTCGCCCTTCACAGAAGATAATCGATTCACATCAATTACTGACTAAACACAAATCTAAATCTACTTAAAAACGAAAATCGAATCACAATTAGAGAGAGAGAACGAAGCACGAATCGAGATCCAATTAACGCAAAAAAGAGAAATCAAACACAGATCGAGAGAGGTAAGCAAAGGATACGATCAGCAGGTGAAGAAGCAACGGTAGCCATGATAATCAGATTCGGAGAACAAAGAGGGTTTGATGATAAGATCCTTTCTCGGATAAGGGGATGCGACCAAAAGATAAGAAGATAGAAACCCTAAAACAGAATCAGGGGATCGAATCTAGGGTTTAAGGGATAGGAGAAAGAGGGTAAAGGTTGGCCGCAGCCGCCAAGGCAAAAGAGAAGAGAAGAGAGAAGGGTTTTTCTTCGGGGAAGAGGAAAAAAAAAAGGGTTTTGTTTCTCTGCCTTCCACTGATTCAAATAGATCCCACTGATAATCTTTTTTTATTTATTTATATATATTTATCTATTTCTTACACTTTAAGATATTTCCTCTTTTTATTACAAAGACTTGACTTTCTGGTTTTTGGTAATTACCACAAAATTTTCAACACCATGGTAAAATCTTTTAAATACATACAAATCTATAATATATTTATTGTTATAAAGGCTTGACCTCTACCACCAAATTTCTACATTCCTCTTTTAAATAGATACAAATCTATACTATGTTCATCTGTATAATATATTTTCCTTAAGAACATGTAAAATACATTGAATAGAGACCAATATTGGGTAAAAGTCATAGTCTTTCATAAATCTTCCATGTACTTATCAAAACACTGAATAAAATTAAATGTGTATTTGAAAATTTATGTGCTTTAGACAAAAATAATAATTTAGGGATATTTGCAATCAAAACCTTACTGAAAATGTTTATTTTTGGTAGAGGAAAATGATGAAATAAAAACATTTACCTCTTTGACCCAAAAAAAAAAACATTTTCCTTAAGTCTAAGTTAATGGGCTAATTCCAAAACTATCCAATATGGGCCTCTTACTCATCTTCAGGCCTTAATAAGACAAGCCCGGACCGAAACATAACTCGGATATAGACCCAGGATCCGATTACCCAGCCAACATGCTAGACTCGAGAGTGTTCATCCCAATTAATGTCCGAACCAAACAACAATGCTTCCAACTGTCACGAAAAGTACACCCAACTGTTCAAAGATTTGCTAAGTAATAATTGAACCTTTGTCTTTTTGATAAAAACAAAACAAAAATAATCATTGAGCCTTTATAAATCAATGAGAAGTCATTGTAGTAGTTAAGTGTCATTCTTCAGTTCCTCAAAGAGAGAATAATAAACTCTCCAACGTAAGTCTCCCACCGCTTCAACGTTACGGTGAGTTTCGTCATTTGTTGAGTTCAAGGTGTGCGTCCATGCATGTTTGGTACATGAAACTAGTCTTTGAAAGAGTGTTTTAACCCATTTTGTCTGATTGTTGGATTTTCAGTGAGAGTATGGATGCTTTTGAGAGAAAGTATAGATCACATGGTGTTGATTTTACTACGGAGGTAAAAAAATATTATTGCCTGTTTGGTATTTTATATTCATTTAATTTCAAATTGGTTTTTTTAAGTCTGAGGTCTTCTTCTGGTTAGAGGAGCCTGTTGAGAACATTGGTACAAAGTTTGCTAGGGAAGCAGCTGAAAAGACTAATGACTTAGCTGGTCATGGTGTTGTACTTGCACAAGGTTTTATTGATGAGTGTGTCAAGGTTTGTTACATTCTTTCTTCTCTCAGTTTCCTCTCATGTAAACTCAGTTGAATAATCTTAAATTTTGTATTCTTTTTTTTTGCAGGTTGTGGCTTCTGGTGCAAACCCTGTATTGATCTCTAAAGGCATTGACAAGACAGAAAAGGCTTTGGTTCACGAGCTAAACCTTATGTCTAAGAGCAGTAACGCAGGCAATGACCCTGAAGCTGGAAGTGTGATTGCTGAAGCAATGAACAAAGTGGGCAAGAACGGTGTGGTGGACATTGATGAGGGCAAAAGCGCTGAGAATAAGGTTTACGTAGTTGAAGGAATGCAATTTGATAATGGTTACATGTCCCAATACTTTATAACGGACCTTGAGAGAATGTGTGTGGAGTATGATAACTGCAAGGTAAATGTGTTATGTTCTGCAAGTACGGAAAAGATATAGCCTAACTAAAGTTTTTATACTTCTGCAGTTGCTTCTTGTGGATCATAAGGTTTCCAATGAAAGAGAGCTTGTTGAGTTTATGGAGGATGTAACTAGAGGTGGAGACCCAATCATCATAATCGCAGAAGACATTGAACAAGAAGCTTTAGATACTCTTGTTGTTAGAAAGTCTAGAGGCAAATGGAACGTTGCAGCAGCTAAGGCTCCTGGTGGTTCTAGAGAGCTTAAGAGCCAATACCTTGACGATATCGCCGTTATAACTGGAGGTAACAACAATCGATGTGACCTGGAATCAACACTACACTGTTTTAAAAATTTCTTGTTGTGTGATTACTAGCAACTGTGATAAGAGAGGAAGATGGTCTTTCTCTGGACAAAGCTGGGAAAGAGGTTTTGGGTAATGCTTATAAAGTTGTCCTCACCAAGGAGATGACAACCATTGTGGGTGATGGAACCACGAAGGAAGCAGTGAACAAGCGTGTTGCAGAGATTAAGAATCTTATTGAGGTATGTGTGTGATTCAAACTTCAGAAGTAGCCTACTTCATTGTACTAATAAGTATAAGGTTGTGCAGCAAGCGGAGCAAGGCTATGAGAAGGAACAATTGAACGAAAGACTTGCTAAGCTTTCTGGTGGAGTTGCTGTAATTCAGGTAAATAGTATTGATACACAACAGAAGAATGTGTGTAGTGATCCTAACTATCTTGTTTAAAGGTTGGAGGAGAAACTGAGACTGAGCGCAGAGAAAAGAAGCTAAGGTTTGAAGAGGCTCTTAACGGTACAAAGGTGATTTTCTTAAACCAGGGAGTTTGTTATTCTGACTACTCTCAAACTGTTTTGAGCTTAATGAGCAAATTGGGTTACTTCAGGGTTCTGTTGAGGAAGGTGTAGTTGTTGGCGGTGGTTGTACCTTCCTTGGTCTTGCGGCCAAGGTTGATCCCATTAAGGATACTCTTGAAAACGAGGAAGAGAAGGTAAGCTAAGACCTTTGGAGTTTTGAGAGATTTGCTCATCTCTGACTGTATTTTTAAACCATTCTCTTGACTATAGGTTGGAGCAGACATCGTTAAAAAGGGACTGAGTAGTGCTGGTGTGGATGGAACCGTTGTGAGTGAGAAGGTAACAACATAACAAGAAAAACTCTACACATAACAAGATCTTTATGAACATGGGTGAATGCAGGTTGTGAGAGGTTCCTTGGAACATGCGGCCTCTGCTGCAAAGAAATTCTTGGTGTCTGAGACCAAGGAGCCAGGAGCTAGCAACCCAATGGACATCTCTGGTTAGTCCAGATAACATCAAAACTCATGTTTCTTTATCACTGAATCTCTTTTAACTTCTGTCTTGTTTCAGGGTGGTTACTGAGATAGACATGAGAGAGATGAACATTCCAAAACGAGCAAGGATTACTATATAGCTTGCAAACAAACTATGTAATAATGTAATGGCCTTTTAAACCAGAGAATAATGTTGGTTATCATGGTATATGGAAACATTTTTAATAAATTGTAAGTGTTGTAATGACTTTTGAAACCAGAGAATAATGTGTTCATTAGAACACCAAGCCATTAGATTATCAAGGCAACTCTAGTTGCATATGTTCTAAGTTGAGATTAGATGATCAAGACAATCATATTCTAAAATGCTAAGGGCCCTGATGAGAAACTGCACAACTCCAGAATATAATTCAACACTAAAAGCTTCTTGAATCAGAGTGTGAGAGCCCATTCACTAACTGGTCAAAGAAACAAATGTCAAAGAAAACAATTCTTTTCACAATCCTAAAACCGTAACAGATTGCTACCATGTTATATCTGGAAACATCACATAACCTCAGGCCAGCAAATGTAGATTGGTTCAAGAACGCAGTGGCAGATTCTACTATATATACTACCCCAATGTAACCTTTCACCATTGCCTTATCTCCTAGTAAAACTAAACAGGAGTTGATCACAGAATAACGCAAACACAGCTTCTATCTCCATCATATCTGATCTCTTCTTCTTCACTACAAAACAAAACAAGTAATCAGATAAATGCAAGTACAACTTTGAAAGTGTCAACAGAGTAAAGATTTAATCTTTCACATCAATAGACTAACCTAGACTCAAATTCACGGATCTCAGCAAGTTCTTTCCCCATCAAATCAACCCACTGAACCTTCTTCTTCTCCCTTACCTCACCATCATCTCCTGAATCCAAAACCTCCTTTTTGAGACTACTTTTCAGAATCTCCCCATTACTTTCTTCCTTTCCCTCTATAGCACACTCTTCTTCATTCACCAAACCATCAACATGATCAACAACTTCTTCTACTTGTGCATCAACAAACTCATCATCATCATTGCCATCAACAACAGAAGACACTTGAGGAGGAGGAGGAGGAGGAGGAGTGTCCTCCAATTTCAGAGAACTTGATGCGTAGATGTGAGGAGAAGGCTTACAGAAGCAAATGAAAGAAGGGCACTGGATCTTACAAAGCAAAACCCTCATCAAAACATATGTTGGGTCTTTAAAACAACCCAAATCATCCAACAACAAGATCTTGATAAAGTTACAAACTTTGTCTGCCCATTGATCTGCCCAGATTGAACAAAAAAGTAAACACTTTTTGATTTCTAAAGAAAAGGATAAAACAGAGCAGCAAAGAGTATTGTATATAAAATCTCGTGTTGGATAGAATCCAAAGACAATAAATAACGCGTTGATCAGATGAGAGGGAGGAGACAAAAGTACAGGGACCAAGCAAAATACTAACTGCAAAATAAAAAAGAAGAATAAGATTCCAGTTGATAACAATCAGCCATTGTAATAAAGTGAAAGAAGATTGAATAAAGGCATTTACTTTTTTTTATGATGATTTGAGAGAGAGACAACGATGGTAACTATTAGAATTTTAAAAACCTTTTTGTTGTTGTTTTCTTCTCGAGTGTCTCTCTAAAGGTGAAGTCTTTGGTTAATTCTCTGTCTTGGATCCTCTGTCTTTCAAGTTCTGATTTCAGAGATTTTTTTTTTATATAAGAAAGATGCAACTAACTAAATTTATAACTGAATGTATATTTTGTTATATTTATCTATAGTTAATATAATATTTTAAAAATCTTTAATACAAATAAATCACTAGAAGTTTGTTTTTTTCTGCCAACTAAGTTTGGTTATGATATACGGTGACGATGGTAAAACAATCAGTAGAATATAAGGTCTGGTTTCAAATCATCTTATTATGCAATCAAAATTTTATTTTGTAAGACTATTTAATTAGATACTCATTTACAAATATAAATGATTAATGTTAATCGAATATCACAATGAAGTTTCCACGTGAAGGAAAAAGTAATGTATCACTAATCTTTTGTTTGTTAAAGTAATATAAATATATCTAACTGAATATATTTTGTTATAATAGTTAACTTCCAGTCATATATATCTATAGTTAATATAATATTTTTAAAAAAATTATTACGAATATACAAATCAGTAGAAGTTTGTTTTTTTCTGCCAACTAAGTTTGGTTATACTAAAACAAATCAGTAGAAATAGAAGAATATAAGGTCTGGTTGCAAATCATCTAATTATGCAATCAAAATTTAAATTTGTAAGAGTATTTAAATTAGATAACTCATTAGGAATATAAATGATTAATGGAATATCACACTGAAGTTTCCACGTGAAGGAAAAAGTTGTGATATCAAAAGACTATTTCTATATATATTGTGTAGTTGACAAATCTAGATATGATCTATATGATGTAGTCATGTAGGTCTATGAAAATCTCTCATACATCTAGGTATGTACATGCATATAATGCGTGTGCCAATATAAGAGAATAATGATGCGACATAGGATGCTTCTGAGTTCTCTGACATGGACCTTTAGATCAATAAAACTCAAGAGCCATAACAAGTTGTCTCACACATGTATGGGATTTGCTTATTATTGTGTGTAGGCAACTAGGCTTCAATTATTATATAACTGGTCAGATACATTCCACAAGTAACCTCATCAAACTCTAATGCTAAAACCCAAGAGCATTATTATACCCCAAATAGACAAAAACCAATAATCTTTTGTTTAATCCATGTTTAGACTTTCTAAGCATTGGTGTTAGCTTGTCATTTTCCAAGGGAGAAGAATAAAAGAATAATCAAATAACACTAGAAGCAAATTAGCGGAAAGCAATGATTAAAGTTCCTTTTGTCTTTAGCTTTGTCCCTAACCTAAACAACAGGAAATCATACTTTGTCTACACAGAATCAATTAGAAAATCAGCAAAAGTAAGAGAGAAGAGAGCGTGAAGCTTCATTCTCTAACAAGAAAGCTGAACCAGTGTTTATTCAGTACTCTCAACATGTATCTAACTAATACATGCACAACATATTAGGAGAAGTCATGTAAACGTGTGTGTAATGTTTACCGTATGATTGTATGTCTGTTACGGTTTCAAACACTTATCAAGAACAAAATCATTGGATTTATTTTTGGTATCTAACTGCGTATGTTACACATGCTTCTTGCAACTCCCTCTGCTGGAGAAATAACCAAAAAAGATACACAAAGAATACTAAAGCTACAGACATACCACTTTCTGCTTAAGTGTTACTGCTGAACTTTCAGAACAGGAAACGCAATGACGTCTCTTATACTCGCAGAGTTTGTCAACAGCATCACCAGCCTGTCAATACCAAGCCCCTACGAGAGACGGAAAACAATAACAGTGAACTGAAATAAGTACTTGAGCATACAAGATTGGTCATGTTTTTTGACTCTGCAAATTAAGTAACGTCGATACTATTAATCGTATAGAAGAAATAAAATAAGATATAAGTACCATTCCGGAAGCCGGAGGCATTCCGTATTCCAGGGCAGTGAGAAAGTCCTCGTCTAGTGTCACCTCATATGACTCATCATCATCATCTTTCTTTGCGTTTTGTTCAGAGGCTGCTCGCTTTGCGTTATGCTGCCTTACTTGTTCTTCCAACCGCTTCCTCTACAAGAAATTTACATCATATCAATATCATTTATGATCCAGTGTACACAAAGACAGCTAAAAAGCAGATCACTGGCTATGTAGAATGTTATACAAGAAGACACAGCGAAGCGAGAATGTGGAAGATTGTATACCTGGTCCACAGGATCAGTCAATTCAGAGAATGCGTTTGCCATTTCACGGCCACAGATGAACAGTTCAAATCTTTCAGTCAAACCTGCATTACTGTTGCCAAAAAAAACGCCATTTACACTTATAAATGTTTTCAGAACATAAGTTGAATGATCTAGAAGATGGTACAGAGCTCTAGAAACAACTATACCCGCGATGTGGCTTGGCCAAGGGAGATATCTCGATTGGGTAGTCCAATACAAAAGTTGGCTGCACAAGCTTTGGCTCTACAACAACTTCAAAAACCTGGAAACAAGAATTGGTTTTCAGAACATAAATTTCGTAGATTCAGTAGTAAATTGTCCACTGAAGTGGCTTTACCTCATTAAGAAGATGGCCGAGAGAAGAGCAAGCTCCAATTCCAGATTTGTCCTTGGGCTCAACCACGTCTTGAAGTGCCAGCAGAACTGTGTCTTTGGCCTTTCCGAGATCTTCCCCTAGCTCATTGAAATCGATTCCTGTTGCCTCTTTAACGAGATTATGCATGGTTTCTCTCCTCCATGGCCGCTCCAGGGAGATCTCTGTTCCCTGCAGAGAGCAACCACAACTCAATTTTGCAAAAGATTCACAACCAACGTAGAATTCAGATGAGTTTATCTCCATACTCACCTGGTAATCAATTGTTAGCTTCCCATTAACTGCCATTGAACATTCAGTGACGATTAATTCTGCCATGTCCATCATGCTTTGGTAGTCTGAAAAAGCTTCATACATCTAAACAAAGATAAACTGATATGGATCAGGGAACCATTCAAGACTATGGAAGCCCAAGAGATGCAAATGATTGAAGAGAACCTCGATGGTTGTGAATTCAGGATTGTGACGTGTTGAAAGGCCTTCGTTTCTAAATATACGACCAATTTCATACACTTTCTCAAACCCTCCAACCTGTGATCACAAAGTGGATTCTGTTCACAAAAGTGGTGGGTTGATACAAAAGAAAGACAAAAACGCCAAGAGGCTATGAAGTTAGAAGATGCGTCTCACCAGCATTCTTTTCAAGTGAAGCTCAGTTGCAATCCTCAGGTAGAGATCCCTTCCAAGTGAGTTATGATACGTTACAAAGGGTCTAGCTTCGGCTCCACCAGCTGCTCCCTAATTTTCACAAGCTCATGAAACCGACTCTCATACAGGAACTGAATATTGAGGGGAAATTTGAAGATAAAATGTCCAAAAACCTGAAGAACTGGAGTTTCAACCTCCAGATATCCAGAAGACTCCACTGTCTTGCGTATCTCTGAAACTATCTACTAAGACAAAAACAGATTATGAGCTTTCTTGATCGGCGAAATAAATATAAGACTAACGTTCTCACACCTGAAGAAATATATGGGATCATACACAAAAGAAACTAGTAGCTCAAATGAAAGTTTGAATCATTTGATAACCTACTTTTGCTCTTTTGCGGAATACATCAGCCACTTCAGGGTTAGCAATCATATCCACATACCTAGTAAGATATCAAACACAGTAAGTGGAACCCAAATAAACTTTCATGAATTAGAGCCACAGATTCACATTGATAGAAAACAGAGCTCACCGTTGGCGGTAACGTTTATCAATATCAGTTAGACCATGATACTTGTCAGGCAATGGAAGGAGAGACTTTGTGAGAATTGAAAAAGAACTCACACATATAGAAAGCTCTCCTGAAAAATTCATACAACAAACAGTTTGTAAACAAAACCACAAACTAACGCTTCTCTACCAAGATTAACCATTTTATTCGAGATTCACCTTTCTCAGTCCTCTTCATAGAGCCACTAGCACCCAAAATATCACCAATATCTATGAATGCCTTCAGCTGTTCAAACTGCTCATCTGACAGCCTTTCCTTCTCACAGTATAGCTGCCAACAAACATAAACGTAGAGATTGCATTCCTTCAATCAAAACCAAAGCCATATCAACGATCTAATAAACAAAGACATGGAAGGAGATGAAACCTGGATGGTTCCAGAGTCATCCCTGAGAGTCAAAAACGCAAGTTTCCCAAACGCTCTACGAGCAACGACTCTCCCAGCTATAGAAACACGATCACTCTCACTGTTTGACTCTTCACCATTCTCTAGATGCTTATAAATCTCTTGTAACTGATTTGCACTGTGGCTTTTCTCCCACTTGTAAGCATAAGGCTCAACACCTTGACCTCTCAGTTCCTCAACCTAATGCAACCAAATCAAAACCAATCATCACCAAGTGGAAAACACAACCTTAAAAACAATGTCTTGATACAAAAGAAAGTATCTTCAGACACACTCATAGTTGTAATAGAAATTTGATATTAGTTGCAAAGGAAAGACCTTTTTGAGACGAATGGAGCGGATAGCCTCACGATCGGATGTGGAATTGGAAGACGAAGCTGCCCTTCTGTTTCTACCGGAGGGTTTAGGAGTTTCAGCCGTGGCGGCATTTGAGGAAGAAGCGGCGGAGGCACATCGGAGCATTAGTGATGAGTGGTGTGATCTTCTTCCGTATAGTGAAGTGGCGATACGCGTAGAAGAGGATAGACGGAGTAATTGTCTCAACGGCGACGCCGTAAGACTCCATACTTTCAGAGCCTCCATTTGTCTCCGGTGATGCTTTTGACTAGTGCTGCTGCTTCCTTGTGGATAGGTGGGAGCAGAAAGTTAACAGGTTAGTTGGGCCTTTTAAATGTTTTGGGCCCTGAATTATTGTTAATGGTTCCATTTGGGTTTCTAATTCCTCAAATATCCAAAAGTTTTTTAAGTCGGTTTCTAAATCAATTTTTTCTTTCTAAAATCAATTTATAAAAACTTATCTGTTGTTTGATCAAACAAAAAAAAATTGTTTAAAAATATCGAATATGTATAAATCTATTTTTCTTTATATTTCTATGTTTAAGCTTGACTTGTTACACCTGTTTTACGAAAAGTGAAAATAGCTGATAAATTATCATACCAATTGGATTAGATATGGGTTTTTAAAAAATTATTTTATTTTAAAAAATTAGGTGTTGTGTCCACCCATGCGAACAAAATAATTTAACTAATATTTATAAATACATATATTGTCAATTAAAACATTGAAATAAGTTATTGTTCATGCGTTCAAAATATTTAATAACAAATTAAACAATTTTTAAAATATATTAAGTTTTACCTCGTAAGATAAATAATATCAAGTAGAATAAACTTGAAAACAATTATAAATATAAAATACTTAGTAATAAATTAAATCTCATTTCTAAATATGATAATGTCTTTCAATATAATAACACTATTTTCTATTACGTTAAATAAATTTATAAAAATTTATGTATACATAAAATTATATAAAATATATATGTATACATTTATCTTTATTTAAATGGAACATAACTTTAATGATTTTAACAATATCGTCATACAAAAAAATCAATTAGATATGTTATAGTCAGAAATAGTATTGATTGTTTTTGTGGTCATGTTTTTATCATTATAAATATATTTGGGACAGTTAATATAAATAAGTTTTATATGGTGACAAAAAAAAAGTATTTAATACTGTAATTTAGAAACCATATATGGAGACAAATGTCTTTTTCTTTCTTTTGCTATTCCTATTCCTTTTTGTCTAAGACTATTCTAACTCTCCAAAACTTGAGGAAATATAAAAGTAACCAATGTCGCAAACTACAAAGTCAAAACCACTACCACCGAGAGTTGAGTTCGTTTGCTAAGCGTAGAAAGAAAAAAAAGGAAGAGATTCTTTTGTGGGCTATGGTATTCAGCAGCGCGGCGATAGTGGTGGTAGCAGACGTGTCCACCAACACGTGGCAGTGGATGACTGGATGAGGAGAGTTCCGTCGTCGGAGATGCTGAATACTCAACAGCTTCTTGAGATGGCTTGTCGCCTCCCCTATGATCATCTCGTTCGCTGTCTATGGGAATTTATATGTTTATGCATACCTGATTCCTACGACACTTTATCTACTTCTGATGATGATGAAGTTGGAAGTTATGCTTGCTTTTGATCAGTATTACTCGCTATCATATTAGTTCCTGAGTCTTTTGTTACTTCTCTAGCTAATTAACTATCTATATTGTTCTAATGATTAGGGTTACCATCTTAGTTTGTTCTGTTGTGAGATTCTGATTGATACTTTTACTGAATCATTTTAACCACGAAGACATTAAGAATAATCAAATCAAATGAGAGCAAATATCATTCTTCAAGCAACTCCCGCAATATAAGTTTTTAAAGGAAAGTCCTTAGAAAAAAATAATTAAATGATCAGTTAATTTCACAAAAAGTTAAGGATCCAATTTTAAAAATCTCTAAATAAAAACTATTTTTAGTGAATCCTTGCACTATTTGCGGGTTTCTTAAAATCTCTAAATAAAAACTCTTTTTTGGTGAATCCTTGCACTATTTGCGGGTTTCTACAACACGTGACGGTCTACGATTAATTGATTTTTTTTTTAAAAAAATTCTAGAAAAAATAATGAAAAAATCAAAAATATTTTTTCTAAGGACTCCAATAGAATATCAACATTGGAAATGCTCAAGAGACATATTGAGTCTGTTTTTGTTCTAAATTACATGAATAAATGGTCCGTCACTTCTGTTATTTGAAAGAGCTGAATCTGATAAGTTGATGTCGTGATCTACTTACAACTCTCTATTTTTGTTCAATTTCCAAACGTCTTGTATAGGTATGAGTTTTCAGGTACTCATTTCGGTTTATATCGGTTATTTCAAGCTTTTAAGTATTTTAGTATAGGATTCTTGAAGCTGTTAGTACATATCATGTCGGGTTCACAGATTTTAAGTTCAAATTCGATTGTTTTGGGTCGGATTCCGATATTTAAATAGTAAAAGAAATTTTTTTATCGTTGTTCATGTTTTTTGTATTTAAAAATATACCATCAACTTAACGGATTTTTAATTTTTAATAGGTTAAACTATTAATAGCTTTGGAGACAAAAAAAAATTAAAAGAAAAGTATTAATCTGATTGTTTGTTGAGAATTTGAATGCAACTTTTGGTAATGCATAAAATAAAAAGTTTAACATGTATTTTAAGTAAATAGCAAATCATTTTGTCTGTAATTATATATGTTTGATTATTTTAATATATTTATTTAGGTTCAAATATTCTATGTTTATATTCGAATACCCAAAATTTCTCATAATTCAATACTCCTTCATGTATTTTTTATATTCGGTTTTGGTTTCTTTTTTTTTTTTTTTTGCTAAATTTTGAATATTCATAAATATGAAACGTTTTAGGGTTTTACAAGCCTACTAAGTGCTACCTTGGCAAAAAAGAAATAAAAAACAAGGTTGGCACATGAATTTGAAAAGAGGAAGCGAAGTTATCTAATCCAAAGCTGCATAAGAGGCATGAAATTTCTCTTATGTCTTCTCGCAGTGATATTGTTGCGGATATCCTTGTCGATGCATGAGAACGTTGTCTGTGATGGCGTGAATCCAGTGAGATGAACTGCAGAGTTGCGCTGTCTCCAGACATTGTAGAGGAGGGATTGAGTGGCTAGTTTCTTCAAGGTGGAAGGTGCTGATGTAGAGGAGTGTCGAACCCAGGACATGAGCTCTTCCCATGAGAGGAAAGCTCTACGTAGTGGGTCTAGTCTTGCGAAGATTCCCGTCCAGAGAGTCAAGGCGTAGATGCAGTCAAGGAACAAATGCTCTCTCGTCTCTTCGTGTGCGTTGCAGAATTAGCAGGCAGTTTGAATATTAAGTCCCCAAGAAGCAAGCCTTACCTTTGTTGGAAGACGGTTTAAGTTAGCTAACCACATATTGAAAGCGTGTCTTGGTATTGCTCCTTTGAACCCCACTGTCTCTGCCCAAGCTTTCTTTTCAGCTCGAGGTCTTAGGGCCTCCCAAGTCTTTGCAGAAGAGAAGCCGTTACAGTCTTTATCCTGAATAACCCAGTGGTAGGAGTCTGGAGTTGAATGGTGAAGAGGTATGTCGACTGTAGTCAAATGGATGTGGAGCGCAAGTGCATTTTCTGACCTTGGGTGGGCGAGTTTCCAGCCATTGACAGAGGTCGCGTCTTTCACTGATGCAGAGAGAAGGATTCTAGTATCTCTTGGACCAGTGTTCCCAAGAAATTTTAATAGCTGTCCAAAAGGTGTCCAGATGTCATACCAGAACCTAGAAGTCATCCCATCATTTATCTTTGTCTTTCACTGATGCAGAGAGAGGGATTCTAGAATCTCTCATTATTGGTTTGGACGTGTTCCCATATTTATTTTGCATGGACTTTTGCAATAAATATAGGAACAATTCAAAAGATTGGATTCTAGGCTTTTCTCTTGCTAATGATTCATTCAACAAGAAAAATAATAATAAAGTGAAAAAGTCACATGTATCATTGTATCAATATGTATTCCACCGAAGAGAAAATGCATACACAATCTACACACTATCATGGTAGGGGATAGGAATCCTTGGATCTATGTATCAAAACTATGTATATTTTTCTAAGATCATTTCCAATCCAACTGTAAAACAATATTCTAATATGATATTTACACAATGTTTTACAATCTAACACTAAAAATCATACTATTTTAATACAATATTATATTATGTTCAGTGTAACTAAAATATTACTCACTATACTAAAACATTCTTTACTTACTTTATTAGTAAAGTATAGCAATTAAATCAATTAAAAATTAAATAAATATTTATAATATTATTAAATAATTTAGTGTGAAATTCGGTGTTTTGATTGAATAATTTTTTTTTAATATTAGAACTACACTAAAATAAGATAATTTTAATATTAAAATAGTGTTATAGCTCCAGAAAATTATAACGTAAGAAGTGATAACTTTATAATAATTTGAAAATATTCGCATTATGAACACAATAATGGAGTAAGATTAAATAAAAACAGATAAATATGAAATAAATATGAGGTACGATAAAAAAAAAGCTTGTGGCTCCACCTCCTATCGTGTAGAGTCACGAGTCATGAACGTCATGTCACTATAATGAAAATCTTTTACGTGCTTTTCTCCTCCTTTCATCATACCTCTCTCCCACAAGGCCACAACGTTGTGGCTTTATGCATTATACATGTTTAGGTAGCCTTTCGCTTTACCGTAAATTCCGGACTATAAATTTTGACCCCTATGTAGTCGTTCTATTCAAACAAATCATATGTGAATGAGACATAGGGGTTTGATCTAACGGACCAGACTTCTATCATGGACGTATTGTCTAATGTATGGATGTGATGTTGTATATATATTTGTAAAATGGAAAAAGAGATGTTTGTGATGACTTTATTATGGAGTTTTGTCCACACCATATACTGTATACCCTTCAATATAGAGAAAGGTTTTTGTAAAAAGAGAGCATGGTCCTATGTTATTCAAGAGAATCATTGGTTCCATTCCAACTAATTTCATTCCACACATCATGTGTATCGGTGCGTTGTTCTTGTTTCACTGGTGGTAACACGTGTACGGTGCATGATGAAAAGTTCGCACGTGTGGATGCTACTAGCCCACTGCTTGCTGACATGGAGTTCACTAGATATGTCTAATTAATTAGGATTTTTAACATAAAAACCCCTCAACTAAGTTTGTTTTGGGTAAAAACCCCTAAACTAAGTATTTAATGAAAAAACCCCCAAACTAACTTTATTTAGTGAATTAAACTCTCGCCGGTCATAATTACCAATACTACCGGTCAATCTTTAGTTTAGGGGTTTTATCATTAAACATAAAATTCAAAAAAAAGAAAAAAAAAATATCAAAATATACATTATCTAAAAATTCGTAATTTTAATTTTCAAAACTAGCATTTTAAAAATTTCTGTAAATATATGAGTGATTTCTTATCCTTGTAAAATGGATTTTTAACTCTAAAATACCTTAACTAAGTTTTTTTTGGGTCAAAACCCCCAAACTAACAAGTAAACCCCCATATTAAACATAGTTGAAGGGTTTTTGTCATTAAAAATCTAAAAAAAAAATTATAACATTATCTAAAAATTAGTAACTTAAATTTTTAAAATTAGCATTTTTCAAACTTTCTGTAAATATATGAGTTTGGTTTGTTTTAACATCAACATTATATATATATATAAATTAAAATTTTAAAACACCAAAATATAATAAAAATCATCTAAAGATTTATTATTACATTTTTATTAAATAAGATATAATTTTTATTCTGTTTTCTTGTTTTTTATTTATAAATTTTGATAGTTTTTATTACTGGTAAATCGTTAGATAATTTTTCTTATATTTTCTTGGTTTTTACATTTTAAATTTATACATATATAATTTTGATTTTAAAAGGATAAAAAATCAGACTCATATAGTTACATAATTTTTTTTAAATGCTAGTTTTGAAAATTAAAATTACAAATTTTTAGATAATGTTATTATATTTTGAATTTTATTGATAAAACCCCTAAACTAAAGATTTACCGGTAGTACTGGTAATTATGAGCGGCGAGGGTTTAATTCACTAAATAAAGTTAGTTTGGGGGTTTTTTCATTAAATACTTAGTTTAGGGGTTTTTACCCAAAACAAACTTAGTTGAGGGGTTTTTATGTTAAAAATCCAATTAATTACTCCAAACTAATCAATATTTCAAAAGAAAAAGGCTTTAAAAGGCGTAATGTAGCTGACCCTAATCACCGTATAGGGAGGCGGGAAATTAACTACCGATTATATATTTTATTCATCGCAATTAAAATTACAAAGAAAGCTAATTTACAGCTAAGGATAACAATTAATTAAAAATAGATTGGATGGGACCTATGGGAGAGGAAAAGTGATGTTGAGAAAGAGAGAGCTTCCACTTTCACTCAAAGCGAGTTAAGAAAGTTTAGATTTTGATTAAAGTGTGGTTGGATTCTAGCGACAAGGAGAAAACCAGACACACCTTCACACGGACATTGTCTTGTTTAAACTTCTTCTAGTTAGGGTCTTGTGTGTTGACAAAAAAAAAACAAAGTCCTTCCTTAGTGTGTGTGAAAGTCTC